GTCACAGCAAATTTAAAACAAAAATTTATGGGTTTTTATTAGGGCACCCTGAGAGAAGAATTTCATCCCTACCAGAGAAGAGGCTCCTAACCCAGGTACAAATCACCTTACCATCATGCTAAGGTGGTAACGTCGGGGTGGAGGAAAGAAGCATATTTAGTACTGGAATGTTACTGAAAATTCCAAATGCCCAAGAATAATGCCTTTAACTGCAGAATGTGTCCAGCCATCTGCACATTATTAGGTGGGTAACCCACTTAGTTGGAAATGAAACTATCTTCCACTGCTTTTCTCTATTGCTATAGCCTTTATACTTCATATTTCAGCCAGCCTCCATCAATAAAATTTGCACCAATTGCCAATAAAAATCACAGGATAATTCCATTCTAAAGCAGTTATTTAAAATTCTTAAAAGCAACTTTCAAACTAATATTAGTTTTGCATAAACCATTACACAATAGGTATCTTGTGTAGCCAAGCAGTAAACCAGGTTACTGCAGATTCATTGATAAACTTACCAAATAAATCTTTTAAATACACAAAGTAAAGATAGTGAAGCTTTCCTAGGAAATAAAAAGTCAACTATATTAGAAAATTTATTAAGTAAACTCAAACCATATTTTCAGAAACTTGTGCACTCATGTTCAAAACAAGAGCAGGAATGATTGTAAGAAAAACAATGCAGTATGATTCTGTGCATAGCATCCAAATAACTAAAATACTTTTAACAAACACTCAACAAATTTATATGATTACACTAACATTTATCCAGCAATCACACCACATACAGGCACTGAATCGTCACTGGTGTGATTCTCCTTTCATCTTCAGTCTATAAATACTGATCAGTCATTAAAAGTAGAGAAGCATGTAATACCTTTTCTGAAGAGCACTCCAATGAATTTTCTACATAGTTTAGAAAATAATCCGCACCTATTAACAATCTTCACTTCCAGAAGCACTAAAAGCCTCTGCCAGTAAACTGGATTCCACAGATCTCACAGTTCACTCTTCTTTGCATTTCCTTTCCTGTCCCAACCCTTGAGCTCATTTGTAGCTTCTTTGGCAATATATTTTATGAATTCGTCCAGTTCCCGGCCACCCTGGAAGAAAAAAAAAAAATTCCGAAATATTTATACATCTTTCTGTTATGACATATTAATCATCAGTAACTATTACCATCTAGGATGAAGGTCATTATGCTCTTGATACAAGGAACAAAATCTTATCAAACCTTACTACTGTACTTCTATTTTCCAGATGTGACATGGGTAAATGCTTCCTAAAAACTAATCTTAACTACTAGCACATCAAAAAGCTACTGGAAGCATAAACAAAACTAAAATAGCTAGAACACAACTTAAGCTGGGAAATATGACACTAAGCCGAACAGTTGAAGAAAATGTATTTGAGGCCTTTCCCTGCACAAGTCTTTCACCGCAACTTAGTTTGCATCTATACAAAAGGCTTTGAACTTTTGACTTACATTATATGGAACAGGGTCTTGTCCTTTTGGTTTCCAGTATAGTGTTGGGAATCCTCTCACATTAAATGAAGATGGAACATCATTAGCCGTGGCATCCATCTTCACAATGTCTACATCTTCATTTTTCATCTGCAATTAAGAACTTTCCTTAGTTACTTTCATTATTACCATGTTTAATTTAATCTATAGGAATATGTGTGAGTGAGGTGAAAGTGTTGAATGATGATGAAAGTATTTTCTTTTTGGGGATTTTATCTTTTTGGGTCACCCTGCCCCAGTGGGAGACGGCCGACTTGTTAAAAAAAAAAATGATTCCATAACACCAAGAAAAAGTCCACAGGTATTACTATATTTAGCACTAATCCATCTTGATGGTAAATGGCCAATGTGATAAAAATGCTAATAAACTCTCATTTAGAGGTTTAACCACCTTTTATTGACAACCCTGAAAATGGATATCAGGTAAAGGCATTAGAAAGCAAGTGCCCTGAAGTTAGACATCACTAATGCAAAAAGCTACAGAAAAAGAAAAGCCAGGGATAAGATTTATGCTAGATATTTACAAGGATAACCCCTTCTCCTGTATACATTACTAAATTTAAAAAGCAAAACTTTTGTTTTTTTTCCTTTTGGGCCACCCCACCTCAGTGGGATACGGCTGGTACGTTGAAAGATTTACAAGGATCAATGCAGTAATACTGGGATGGCTATAACATAGCAAGAGCAGTCAGCAAAGCATTTTTTAAAAGTTTGTCAAACTGAGTTGCCAATTTCAATGAAATTATGACAGCACAAGCAAAACAGGTAAATCCCTATATTATCAAAATTTATAAGAATTTTAAGAATTCTTTAAAATAAAGTCAAATGACATTAAGTTAAATTACAGGCACACTGGTGCTAGTAGGGATGAAAGTGGAAATGGCCTAAACCATGGGCAGACAGTGCTCGTCAGCTACACACCACAAGCAGCACTACAGGTCTACAGGTGATGCACGAGACAAATCAAGAGATTCATTTCCAAGTAATTATTCCCGCTTCATCAAGAGGCCCCTGCTGGGTCTGCCACTTCCAGGACATAAATGGCCCTTCAAGTCACCAAGGTAAAAAGTGTTTTAGAGCAAGTTCTTTATGCCAGTACAAGAGCTGAAAGATGTGACCAAGGAAAGACCAAACCCTACGTATGGGGGAAATGGATGAAGACTGCATGTTTAGTAATTTACTAAGAGTGAGAATTATTTACCTAGGGCTATTAACCCTTTCACTGTCATGATCCCTGAAATCAGACATGCTGACTAACAATTTAAAAGCTCTCCTTAAATGGTAAATATCCGAAGTATATGACACTGAAAATGTGAAATTAAGAAATTTGCAGAATCATGCACGCACAAAATTGGTAGTCCAAGTGCCATTTATACAGCAGCAATTTCACCAACAGTCTTTCTAAGCCAATTCCACTGCTCAATTCAACCAAATTCATAGCTACTTCACTACTATGCTTGTTTTACTGATTAAGAGTCTACCCTTTCTCAGAAAATTGCTAAAATTAATACTTTCAATACTTTTGAGTCCTATTTCAAGCTACTTTTAGTCCTGCAACTGAACAAAACCATCTTTCACCAGTTTTTTTTTTTTTTTTTTTTTTTTTTCAACAAGTCGGCCGTCTCCCACCGAGGCAGGGTGACCCAAAAAAGAAAGAAAATCCCCAAAAAGAAAATACTTTCATCATCATTCAACACTTTCACCACACTCGCACATTATCACTGTTTTTGCAGAGGTGCTCAGAATACAACAGTCTAGAAGCATAAACATATAAAGATACACAACATATCCCTCCAAACTGCCAATATCCCAAACCCCTCCTTTAAAGTGCAGGCATTGTACTTCCCATTTCCAGGACTCAAGTCCGACTATATGAAAATAACCGGTTTCCCTGAATCCCTTCACTAAATATTACCCTGCTCACACTCCAACAGATCGTCAGGTCCCAAGTACCATTCGTCTCCATTCACTCCTATCTAACACGCTCACGCACGCTTGCTGGAAGTCCAAGCCCCTTACCCACAAAACCTCCTTTACCCCCTCTCTCCAACCCTTTCGAGGACGACCCCTACCCCGCCTTCCTTCCCCTATAGATTTATATGCTTTCCATGTCATTCTACTGTGATCCATTCTCTCTAAATGACCAAACCACCTCAACAACCCCTCTTCTGCCCTCTGACTAATACTTTTATTAACTCACCAGTACTTCCTCTATTCTACCGAATGATACCCAGGAACCAATAAAATATGAAAACCGCCCTAGAAATCGCCTCAGTTGCTATTTTAAGCAAAAGATCAGAGGTTTGGTTTTCCTCATCATGCACTGCATTAGGTAGGATTTTTATACTCTGCACACTTGCTCCACACCCATTCTATCATATCTAGGCCAAAATTTACCTCACAGCACATTTGAGGATGCTGTTCTTTCAACTTATATCTACACGAGTATCACTGGTGTCAAAGACTTTCATACGAGAGTGAAAGGGTTGACAAGAACAAGAGATTTTGGTCTTGGGTGAGGCGAGTATGAATGCCAGTGCATTTATTTCATTCAATGGAATTTACATATTGATGTGCTAACAAAAGTAATTTGTTTAATCGTCTGATAAACATGAAAGAAGAGCTGGAATGTAAGTATTCAACACCAGCTGTCTCCCACCAGATAAGGTGATGAATTGCCCTCATTCAGCCATTCCCAATGTAAATTCAGTAACAAGGTTATAATTTTTCTATTCCCCACCATAAAGGTATCATATTTAAAAGGCTGGGACTGGGTCACAAAAGCAGGGACACTGAAATTATCTTCAGGCAAGTCCATTACATTTTATCAACCAACAAATTTATAATGCAAATACTGATTACAAGCAACTTAAATGCAACTAACATACCGCTTCACCAAGTTCATCATACGTGGGTGCCAACTTCTTGCAATGTCCACACCAAGGTGCATAAAACTCAATCAGCACATCCTTCTCAGAATTTGTTACAACTTCATCAAAGTTCTTGCCAACTGCAACAGTGACTGGGCCATCTTGTACAGGAATATCTTCTGACTTCAAGTAAGGTTCTAGTTCATCAGCTTTAAGTTTGTTGAGGAAGGCTTCAAAAGTTTCCATTCTGTCAAGAGAATTTGATCAGAAATTTTCAACCAACAAGTTGACTGTACGGCACTACCCGCCACTGTTGCAATCTATTGAATTACCATAAACTACAAGGCAGTAAAAATACTCACGAGAATTCTTCTTTCATGACAAATTTTTGAGACTTTGCATTTCTGGCACAAATCACAGGCTTATCTCCAGAAACAAAATCAAGACCAAATTCATTTAATTCGTGTTGGAAATCATCCTTATTAGACACAGCAAAGTTAAAATCATCGAAGTTCTGTGCTACCTGTAAGCAGAAGAATTAATTTTAAATTACAATAATAAAACTATTAAAATAGTTAAAGTACAGCATTAACAAGCTAAAGAACTAAAACCCCAATATCCTACCTTCAGATGCGGTTACGCCAGTAGTTAGTTCCCTTGGCATTCTTCACATAATCAACATTGTAATATGCAACCACAAGAGGATTAACGAAGTCTGAGGCAGTATCTTGAGTACGGTGACCCACCAAACCATGGCTGTGAAAGTTGAACATTCACTTAACTCAATTTTCTGTAATTAATGAAAAAGTTTATCTGAACTAGAAAGATTTTGTTGTTGTTGTTGTTGTTGTTGCTAAAGTGGCTATCCTCCACTATACTAGGGTTATCTTTTTAGCAATTCTAGGGAATTTCTTCACAGCTTGATCTCAGACCAAACCTAGGTTAAATGTAAATATTACAAGATGAACTATCAAGAAGCACAGAAAACAAGTGCACATACTGAATTTAAAATAAAAATTTAAATTTTTTTTTAAATACATTGGCCACTTCTACTGAGGCAGGGCGACCCAAAAACAAGAACCCAAAAGAAAAAAACTTTAATCATTCAACACTTTCACCATCACTGAAAAATTACCAGTCATAAATATTCATGAGACACAGAAGTCAACCAGTACAAACTATTTAACCAGTTTCCATTTCACTAACTTTACAGAACTATTACCTCCATGGATGGATGCTGTGTACCAACTTACCACCTACCCAAGAAAAAAATATTATCTTATAAGTAACAAGACAAAATTCAAATGATCCAACTTAAATATTCCACTGCCCTCCTCAAGGTGGGAAGTGCAGGTTCTGCACTGTGCCACCCACCTTAAGTACAGCAGGGCCCCGCTTTTCGGCATTTCGCCTTATGGCATTCTGCTAAAACAGCGATCTCAATTATGACCAAAACTTTCTATATGGCAAGTGGTCTTTCAAATATGGCGCAGGCCACCCGGTTTGTTTACATTCTCCATGAGCACATCTCTATGTAATAGTAATCACTAATGTCTTATTTTACGTTAATATAGACATTTTCATTAATCCATCTATGATATTTTCTTCAAAATTATACAAGAAACACGTTACATAACACACAAACATTGTTTATATACTATGGAGGTGTGGTAGACGGGCGGAGGGAAAACATTACATCACTCCCCTTAACCCTTAAACGGTCCAAACGTATATATACGTTCACGCGCGTAGCGCCCCAAACGTATATATACGTTTTCTTTGTCATTCATTCAACATTGCCATGATAAGCCTGAGTCACCTAGACATGAGAGAATGGGTGTGCGCACTCACTGTGTGCCATATTAAAATAATTGGGGATGCCTGGGTACCATATGCTCTTTTTTCCCTTTTAAAAAAAGATTTTTTTCTCAAAAAATTTGGGGCGCTACGCGAGTGAACATATATATACGTTTGGACCGTTTAAGGGTTAATACATAACACTTGTTTACAATTCTTGACTTTAATTATTCATTACTTTTCCCTTTGTTTATGATGGCATCTAAAGGTAATTGTTAGAAACGATTAAACTCGGTGAACATGATATGTCAATGGTGGTAATATGTTTCTGGGCTGCATTAAATATCGTGTAGCTATGTAGGTAGGTGTAGGTATGTAGCCCAGGCTGACTACATACCTACATTATTATTTTAAATGATAATTATACATATGTGTACCTGTACCTAAGTATACTTATGCACTGTGCTGGCATGCAGGTACACATTAAAATCACTAAGAGTGTCTTAATAGTCTTGAAGATGTCATATTAATAATAACACAATAAAAATCACTAAGGAGCATTAAATATCGTATAAAATGTTATTATAGACAATTTGCTTAATCCATCTTAATACACCCCACAGTAGAATAAATTAAACATGAGATGCAGCAGCCAGACAACTTGCAGGACCTGTGGCAGCCGGGCAACTTGCAGGACCTGTGGCAGCCGGGCAACTTGCAGGACCTGTGGCAGCCGGGCAACTTGCAGGACCTGTGGCAGCCGGGCAACTTGCAGGACCTGTGGCAGCCGGGCAACTTGCAGGACCTGTGGCAGCCGGGCAACTTGCAGGACCTGTGGCAGCCGGGCAACTTGCAGGACCTGTGGCAGCCGGGCAACTTGCAGGACCTGTGGCAGCCGGGCAACTTGCAGGACCTGTGGCAGCCGGGCAACTTGCAGGACCTGTGGCAGCCGGCAACTTGCAGGACCTGTGGCAGCCGGGCAACTTGCAGGACCTGTGGCAGCCGGGCAACTTGCAGGACCTGTGGCAGCCGGGCAACTTGCAGGACCTGTGGCAGCCGGGCAACTTGCAGGACCTGTGGCAGCCGGGCAACTTGCAGGACCTGTGGCAGCCGGGCAACTTGCAGGACCTGTGGCAGCCGGGCAACTTGCAGGACCTGTGGCAGCCGGGCAACTTGCAGGACCTGTGGCAGCCGGGCAACTTGCAGGACCTGTGGCAGCCGGGCAACTTGCAGGACCTGTGGCAGCCGGGCAACTTGCAGGACCTGTGGCAGCCGGGCAACTTGCAGGACCTGTGGCAGCCGGGCAACTTGCAGGACCTGTGGCAGCCGGGCAACTTGCAGGACCTGTGGCAGCCGGGCAACTTGCAGGACCTGTGGCAGCCGGGCAACTTGCAGGACCTGTGGCAGCCGGGCAACTTGCAGGACCTGTGGCAGCCGGGCAACTTGCAGGACCTGTGGCAGCCGGGCAACTTGCAGGACCTGTGGCAGCCGGGCAACTTGCAGGACCTGTGGCAGCCGGCAACTTGCAGGACCTGTGGCAGCCGGGCAACTTGCAGGACCTGTGGCAGCCGGGCAACTTGCAGGACCTGTGGCAGCCGGGCAACTTGCAGGACCTGTGGCAGCCGGGCAACTTGCAGGACCTGTGGCAGCCGGGCAACTTGCAGGACCTGTGGCAGCCGGGCAACTTGCAGGACCTGTGGCAGCCGGGCAACTTGCAGGACCTGTGGCAGCCGGGCAACTTGCAGGACCTGTGGCAGCCGGGCAACTTGCAGGACCTGTGGCAGCCGGGCAACTTGTAGGACCTGTGGCAGCCGGGCAACTTGTAGGACCTGTGGCAGCCAGGCAACTTGTAGGACCTGTGGCAGCCAGGCAACTTGTAGGACCTGTGGCAGCCAGGCAACTTGTAGGACTTTATGAAAACCAGAAGCGTTCATCTGGTTTGTTTGCATTCGAGAACGACCCCTCCCCAGCCTTCCTTCCCCTATAGATTTATATGCTTTCCATGTCATTCTACTTTGATCCATTCTCTCTAAATGACCCCCCCCCACACACACACTTTTTTAACAAGTCAGTCGTCTCCCAACCGAAGCATTTAAATATTACATGGGTTTCAAACTGTGGTAGGCCATGAAACCCAAATGCAGAATGCAACATCTTACATACGAACCTTGTCTTTGCAATACTTTTTTTCCCCGTTGACTGCAGAGTGAGCAGTTTCCTCCATAACACTATTGGGAGTCATTCATTCCCATCACCAGTCAATTACAATTACCCGTTTTTTCAGTGGAAGATGGGTTTACAAATTAGACAGGGGCAAGCTACACATTTCAGTAGAATATACAGCACTGCCCATACAACTGTCAAATTTTTAGCTGCAACTGGAGCCAATGATACTAATGTTGCTCTACAGTCATCTGAATCACTAATTGTAGTAGCTTTTCTTAATGCACAGCATGGATTAGCATTTTATTCTATGAGCAGACTGCACTCAAACAAACTAGTCTAATTTGTAAAATGGCAATGGGGAGGAAACTTTATAAGCTATGATTTGAGAATATACTGTATGTTGCAATCTGCAAAGCAAAACATCACTCCCAGTTTAAAAAGAGCAATTTCAGATTTTGTGGTGTTCATAAGTAGAGGATAAACTAAGTTTTTAGAGCAACAAGGCAGGACAAAGCTCATCTTCCTCTGCCCCCCACACCCTTCTGTATAATACATGCACAATACAGTGGAACCTCTACTTACGAGTGCGTCCATGTGCGAGTTTTTCCAGATACGAGCAGCTGCTCGGTCGATTTTTTGCTTCCAGACGCGAGCAAAATTTCCAGATGCGAGTGGGCCTCAAGGGAGGTTAATTAACCCTGGTGAGGGGGCTCTTGCTCTTTATCTAGGGAATTGGATCTCAGTTGTTTGTTGGACTATCTTATTGAAACTTGGGCAATGTATGATGAAAAGATGCTTCTTAACGTACACCAAAAATGAAAGAAATCGGACCATAAATAACGGAGTTAACTTCTCAGCCATTAGCCTCCCCTTAGCGGTACATTTTCGTATGGTTTTTATAGTTGTATTTTCGTTTTATTTTGTCTCATGTGATAGAATGGAAGATATACTACAAAACTAAATATGATTTTAATTGGTTTCATGATGAAAAGTAACTTGAAATTGAGCTCAAAATAGCAGAAATGTTCAATTCTTTGGCAACATTAGTGGTTGACATGAGGTAGCAGTGGCAGACATGAAGCTGCAATGGCAGACAACATGAGGCAGCAGTGGCAGACAACATGAGGTAGCAGTGGCTAAGTGTAGCATTAAGAGTGTAGCAATTAAGTGAAGCCTTAAGAGTGTAGCACTTATATGTCACTGACTTTTTTGGGTTATCCTAGGCTCTACATATGTAGTCAGAAGCAGGAATGGCCGCTGTGGTGGCCCTATAAACCCCAACAATGGCTGCTGTCACCATCACTAGCCACATACCTAATGACATGTACTTTATTCATTCTAGTGTATATATCATGTTTCTATGTTATTAATATTGTTTATTAGGTCATACTACATGAATTGTGATACATAAATAAGCTGTCGAGTTGATATTAGGGAAATTATTGAAGTATTTTCTCGTGCCTGGAATTCCACCGGAACGAATTAATTACATTTCAATTAATTTAAATGAGGAAAACTGACTCTGCAAACTAGCAAATCCAGTTGTGAGCAAGGTCATGGAACGGATTAAACTCGTAAGTAGAGATTCCGCTGTATTTACAAAGTGATGATGATCACGTGGGAAATAAAACTAATATGACAGGCAATTAAAAGAGTGGTACAGGACAAATCATATTGAAGCACAACCCAGCTGCAGTACAGTGTAAAGTAATTAAAGTGATCATGTCTAGATAAATGGGCAATTGGTTTGACAAAGAGGAATAAAGGGGAACAACTTGACAAATTAAACTACGGAAATTAAAGTTGGGCATTATAACTAAAATTAACAGCAATTACTGCTGTTTAATCTGCAGTTCAATATTACATTTAAAGTAAATTTCCTTTTACATGAAGTGGCTTTTCCATTCAATGCCATTATCCATACATTTTAAGGTCCAGTGTGAATTTCATTTCTTACTATTTAATAGAAGCTTATTTTCTTGCCACAAAAGTAAACTGGATACAAATGAGTTACTGCCAGCAATATTAGACACTGAAGAAAGTTATAGAAGTGCTCAATGTTGACCAAGCCATTACTTTCAACTACACAAGTTGTTCTACAATGCACCCTTTACGAGACCACAAACTAGACAAGTTACATGGCATACTAACATTTAAACTAAAATGATTGTCACTGAAGTTACAAACATGGACATGGAACAACCAAATTTCATTATGCACATCAATACTTGCTAAGAAACTTCTCTACCACACTAATATTTTAAGCAAGTTGACAAACTGCTTCTCCCAAATGTAGCAAATACAAACACAATGCTTACAAGTTTTCCTTCACAAAAGACTCCATTTTAGATTTGTCATTAGGTCCATCATAAACAACTGAAGCAGGTTCAAACTTGTTCTGCAAGTGCTTTGGTCGGAATAGCACCATGACATTATTATGCCCATACTTTTCATTAACTTCGGCTTTTACAGAGTGAGCGAAACGGACTGTTTCACGTAGTTTATCTGCAGCCTTGAGGAATGCCTCTGGAATAAGAAATCAGAATTAAGACTTTATGGTTAGCTTAAAATTAATCTATCCAGTCATACAGCTTATCAAAACTTTGGTGTGTAGGCTCACTGTAGCACTACATTTACATGTTTAGAGAGTTACAGGGAATGATTTTAAATTCTTCTGGAGTAATTAAAACAGTAGTTACTTCATAAGAAAGTTTATAAGAAAATATGTACATCCTGAAGTGCAAGAACTGTTAATGGCGACATTTTCATTACCAGAATTACATTACACAATTCCGATTTCTGTCAATTTTCTAATACAAAACTGCCTGGAATAAAGCTGGTTTTAAAAATGTTCAAACCATTACCAGAAACTATTTATTGGGGAAACTATAAACAGCAAACATTTACCAAAATAACTGATGGCAGCAATGACTAAAACCCACTCAAGTGGTGGAAATTAATAACCTCATTCAATCACCTGATTTCCTAAACTAAAAATTATAATTTTTAATTAATACACTCAATAACCAAACCTGTCAGAATTAGAGAAATGTATCTTCACTTTGCTCCATCTTGACAAGTACAAAACTGATTACCCAAACCTTCCTTATCACCAAAAACATTACCACTTTAATGAAATTACAGTGAGGCTCAATTATCAATGAATAGTCATAGCATAGCCATCAGTAACACTGGCAGAATTTAACACTCAAAACTAGTGTCAGCATAGTTGCTGATCCCCTTGTATGTGTTATATAGATTAGCCGAGTATCACAGTACCATCCATGTGCTTTATATAGAAGCTCCCTAGGCCTGTGACTATGACGTCACGGGGTACAGCTTGAGGCAGCGAGACGAGCTGCCTCGCTCTTACTCGGCGTATAGACATCCAGGCAGTAACATGGCAGGCTGGGCCCATCCCTTCCTTACCACAGTCTGACAATATATATCGTTACCATCCAACAAGCGAGTTTACCTTATCCATCATTCTCCTACCGAACCCCATACGACACTAGTGTCTGTCTTTCAATAAAAAAAAAAAAAAAAAAAAAAAAAAAAAAAAAAAAAATCAAAGCCTCAACAATAAGCAGCTCTTTAAAATAGAAAAGATTAACTAAATAGCAAGGCTAATCAACAGCATACTCTCAGCCATTGACAAAGCATAACTGAAAATAAGGTAAGATTGAGCTTAGCACCCAAAACTTTCAGGCATACAAGAACTTAAAAAACCAAGTAAATTCACAAAAATTACTAAACACAAGAAACCTCTCACTCAACGATTAACCCTTTGACTGTTTCGGCTGTATATATAGTTAGCTGCACGCAACCCGTACGAGCCACAGCCCGGCTGGTTAGGAACCGACGTTAGTTTTTTGCTTTCGTAGCGAGTGATTTTCGTGTGCAAGTTTGGTACTAGTCCCTCTAGGATTTTCCAGGTGTATATAATCATGTATCTCTCCCTCCTGCGTTCCAGGGAATACAGGTTTCAGGAACCTCAAGCGCTCCCAGTAATTGAGGTGTTTTATCTCCGTTATGCGCGCCGTGAAGGTTCTCTGTACATTTTCTAGGTCAGCAATTTCACCTGCCTTGAAAGGTGCTGTTAGTGTGCAGCAATATTCCAGCCTAGATAGAACAAGTGACCTGAAGAGTCATCATGGGCTTGGCATCCCTAGTTTTGAAGGTTCTCATTATCCATCCTGTCATTTTTCTAGCAGATGCGATTGATACAATGTTATGGTCCTTGAAGGCGAGATCCTCCGACATGATCACTCCCAGGTCTTTGACGTTGGTGTTTCGCTCTATTTTGTGGCCAGAATTTGTTTTGTACTCTGAAGATTTAATTTCCTCGTGTTTGCCATATCTGAGTAATTGAAATTTCTCATCGTTGAACTTCACATAGTTTTCTGCAGCCCACTGAAAGATTTGGTTGATGTCCGCCTGGAGCCTTGCAGTGTGTGCAATGGAAGACACTGTCATGCAGATTTGGGTGTCACTCACCAAGTCAGTCAAGTCACACAAACTCACGTTAACCTCTTTCTGTGTACAAGTAACACTTCAGTTATGGTTACAGGTTCTCTTGTCTAACATCTTTGTTAATACATAAGTGCTTATACCTCTTCGTGCCACTTTCAGCAACACTATTATGGCTACTGGGTGTCATGACTGCTTGGCAGATACAAGATATAGTAATTAAAATATCATAATTGACAAACGCAGCTGCCTTGTAGCAGAGAAAGACTGGACATGTATGAATTATGAATGCTGGGATGGTGAGGGGGGGGGGGATCCGGGAGTGGTAGAGGATGGCTCCCCAGCTGCTCCACAAGGCAGCTGCTTGAGCATTTTTTTTTCTTGCCACAAACTGAACCATGTTAAATTAATTATACGACGTGTTACATAAAATTGTGCAGGAATTCTTCAGTGGCGGTCTACTGTATTATAATAACGATAGAGCTGCAGTTCCGTAAATTAATAATAATAATAATAATAATAATGCATAATACGTATGTAATAATAATTCAGATTGCTTCTGCTAGTTGGTACAGCTGGTAAGCAGTAAACATGTTTACATCCCTGTTCTCTCGTGCTTGTTTGCATTTTATTTTATTTATTTTTTTTTTTTTTTAGACAGTTTGCCAAATTTCTTTTTTCTAAACATGGGTCCTATGATCTACTGCAGTTAACCTCAAAAATACTCAGTTTTCTCTTACAGTAAGAACACGGGAAGATAGTACTATAGTCAAATTGGGACGGAAATGGCAGACGCTTCTGCTCTCAGTAGTAGTAACCAGTTACCAGTGTACCAGTAGATGACTCACTACCAACCGTCTCTGCCTGAGTCACTGTCTGTATTCATATTGCCGCTGACCTCAGCAGTATTTCAAAGACCCCCACATATGGGTACTGTGGGCGGTCAGTTATACGAGAGTGAGCAAGGAGGCAGGTCACGGCTGTTTGGGCGCTACCCACATTATCCGTAATATACGTACTTCCAGCCTACGTGAGTATTTACTTTACCCTATCCACGTGTTCGAAACCCCACATGATACTGCCGCTGCCACTATTATGGCCTATTTTATTCATTCTACAGTATATACATGTATCATGTTTATGTGCTTATAATATTGTTTATTAGGTCATATTAGATGACTTGTGATAGATAAATAAGCCGTACAGTTGATAATAGCATCATATTCAAGTATTTTTTCTCATCTTTCCAGAATGCAGGAACAAATTAATGGCTTTTCAATTAATTTAAATGAGGAAAATTAATTTGATACACGAGTAAATTGAGTTACGAAGTAGCTCCTGGAACAGATTAAATTCGTCAGTCAAGGTTCCACTGTACTTATGCTGATAATTATTGTACGTGTGTGTGTACCTGTACCTAAATATACTTACACACTGTGCTGGCATGCACAGTTGAAGTTCTATCAATAAAGATCGAGAACCAAAACCTAGTCATTGTGGTTGTATACAAGCCACCAGATGCAATCTCAACAGTTCAAGGAACAGCTACTGAAAATTGATTACTGTTTGGAAAACCTTCCAGCTCCATCCCCAAACATCTTACTGCTTGGTGATTTCAACCTAAGGCATACAAAATGGAAGAATGTAGCAAATAATGTTATAGCTGAAACAATCCCCGGAGGTAGCGCAGATGAAAGGTCTCACACACATGGGCTACCAAGTCTCTGCGAAAAATGCACCTTAAGCCAGCAGATAGTGGAGCCAACAAGACTAGAAAACACACTTGACCTTATCTTCACAAATAATGAGGACCTGATAAGAGACATAAGAATATCAAAAACAACTAATTCCGATCACAACCTAATCGAAGTCCAGACGTACATGCATAGGGGTCCTGATCAGCAGAATGCATGTACCTGTGAAGGTGTCTTCACAAAATACAACTTCAACAACAAGAACATCAACTGGGACCAGGTAAACCATGTCCTAAACGAAACATGTTGGGAAGATGTCTTAAATGACATGGATCCAAACCAGTGCCTTGAAAGGATCAACTTCCTGGTAGCCAAAGCATGTTCTAGGCATATTCCCCTAAGAAAGAAGAGCAGGAGTAAACTGGAGAAAGACACTCCCTCTACAGAAGACGACGAAGAGTCACCGAGCTCCTCAGGAGTGCTAGAATATCTGATACACGAAAGGAGGCGCTGACCAGGGAAGTGGAAACTATCGAACTTAAGCTAAATGACTTACAGGAACCAGGAGAGGCAGGAGGAGCTTAAAGCTATTAGTGAAATTGAAAGAAATTCAAAATATTTCTTTTCATATGCCAAAAACAAGGCAAATACCACATCTAGTATCAGGCCCTTACTCAGACAGGATGGGACTTACACAGATGACAACAAGGAAATGAGTGAAATATTGAAATCTCAGTAAGACTGTTTAGTGAACCACTAATCGGTCTGAGGATCGACTACCCAAATGATTTCTTCATGAATGAGCCTCAAAACTCCATAAATGTATGCCAGATTTCCGACATTATCCTAACTCCGATAGATTTCGAAAAAGCCATTGACAACATGCCTATGCACTCAGCCCCGGGCCCAGACTCGTGGAACTCTGTTTTCATTAAGAACTGCAAGAAACCCCTCTTGCGTGCCCTAAGTACACTATGGAGGAGCAGCTTGGACATGGGTGAAATTTCAGTTACTTAAAACAACGGATATAGCCCCACTTCATAAAGGTGGCAGCAAAGCATTAGCTAAGAACTATAGACCAATAGCTCTGACGTCCCACATCATAAAAATCTTTGAAAGAGTGCTAAGAAGCAGGATTGCAAATCACCTGGATTCCCAAAATCTGTACAATCCAGGGCAACATGGGCTCAAGGCAGGTCGCTCCTGCCTCTCAACTACTGGATCACTATGACATGGCCTTGGATGCACTGGAAGAAAATCAGAATGCAGATGTAATATACACAGACTTTGCAAAAGCATTTGACAAATGCGATCATGGCATAATAGCCCATAAAATACGTGCTAAAGGAATAACTGGGAAAGTGGGGAGATGGATCTTCAACT